GCCTTTATAAGCAGAGCCTGGCTTAGCCATTGGTACCACCACTTGGCGCACTTTAGCTCGCTTAGGTTTTCCTTTGAGCCAGCTTTTTGCTCAGCCTTCCTCACAACCACCGCCAGAAATGGCAGGAGCCTGGGTTAGTAGTTACTGCCTTAACGTTGAGGGTTTTCCCATAATCCTGCATGCCACCCTGCAAAAGCTCAGAGTCAAAGATCATCCCGAGTATGAGGGCCATGAGTATGAGGAGCAAGGCACCGAGCGGTGTGAGGTTACCGTCTACATCGAGAAGAGTGAGGAGTTCCCCGACCTCACTGGAGCCTGGAGTGTGACCACAACCGGTTTAGCTTTATCGACACCTACCAAGTTGTGGCCCGCAAAGCCTTACAGTACCTCTGCCAGATCTATGAGGAGCACATTGCTCGTACCTCCATGCGGTTCTTTCCACCTTTGGATAGGAATCGAAGGGCATGGAGGGCTCGCATGGAGGCTTTGCAAGGGCGGGATGCGCAAGAGGATACTCCTATCGTGGTGCATTTGACCACGTACCTTTTTGCTCTAGATGAGCAGTATGACCGATAAGCCTTGGAACTGAGGATCTACCTCCGGCGGGCGGAGGAAGCCGAGATCTTCACTCGGATGCTCTAGGTGCAGCTCGCCAAGGCGCATGCTAGTGCTACAGCTACTGGGAGCCAGGAGGCTGCCATGTCGAAAGCTCAGAAGGAGGCTGAAGATCGGCATATCCATCAGCTGCGGGAGGCCTATCTTATCACTAGGGCCAAGCAGAGGACGCTGGCTGCTAAAAGGCAGGATGCCCCAATCTTGGAAGGGATCCCTGTCCACCTACCTGAAAGAAGGAGAACCAGTGTTGCAGTGCCGCCAACACCTCCACCTTCGGAAGTGTCAGAAGTAGAGCCCTTGATTCCTCTCACTCAGCCATCGCCAAGAGAAGATGTAGATCCATAGCCAGGGCGGTTGAAGAATCCGCCAAGCCCGGGAATGAAGATGCGTAGTTCCAAGTAGATTAGTTTCCTTGAGATGTTGTACCCGTAGTAGTAGTGCTGTTCTTCGCTGTCTTCCGATATTGTACTCTTGCCGTTGTTTTCGTCCGTCCTGTTGAGATCGTCCGTCGTAGGGAAGGTGAATGTTGTGTCGTGAATGGGAGACTGGATGCTTGTATGATGTGCCCATATAAGACCGTTGGAATATGCATTTGGTTCATTTCCCTATGTTTATTGCATCCATCTACTTAATTCCCATTAAGCGTGCTTAGCGTTTTCAAGGGCGATGGTAGGTGGGTTACAAGAGAGGTGGCCATCCAGATATCAGCAAACCAGTTGTGATTGGATAATATAGGACGTTGTATCAACTAATTGTGGATGTCCCAGTAGAACACTTGAATCTCTTTAAATCAAATCTGCCGCTGCATTTGAATTCCTTGTCCCTTGTTGTGAAGGGAACCCTTGTTGTTTGAATCTTCCCTTGCAACACTCCCCTCATTCTGTGGTCTATGACCCCACCGCCTTCCGACCATGAAGTTGGTAGTAGTTGCCTGGTTAATAGCTTATGGTGCCATGATAAAACTGAGGCCTCCCTGTGGAACAGCTGCCACATGGTGATGCTGCTCGGCACGCGTAGGTATCGAGGTTATTGACCAAGTACCTTTATCAAGTTACACCGCCATACCACTTTTGATACAAATATTCGGGTGTTTGAACGAGAAATCCACAACGGGTTGATGAAATAGTGTTCTCTCAAGCTAAATAAGATGAGGTGGTTTTAGAGGAAGCATGTATGTTGCAATCTCACTTCATACAAAGTTTGGCGCATATTGTGGACAAGGAAGGGAAGGAAAGAAGAGCACCTGGGAAAAGTTAACCTTGGGTAGTAGGGAATGCTTACAAAAGCCTGAGTGGATGTCAAGTCCTAGGCACTATGCCCAGCTCGACCACGCTACGCACGCCGGGTCGCTGTCACCGCGTGCCCCGCGGACGCCGTCGGTGTCAAGCCCATTAGCACCATATCCTCGCATGGCCTCGACATCATGCCACACTCACCGTCCTCGTGCACTGTGCGCTTCTCCTTTTCCTGGCCTCCGGTCCGCTCTTGATCCTCGCCCTCGTCCCCGTACCAGACCCCCTCCCTTCTTTCTTCTTTTGGGGACACGAACACCCACACGCCTCCCTCGTCAAGCGAACCCTCTCTCCTCTCCTTTATTCCCCCCCCTCCGCTCGCTTGAGCAGGGAGCGCGCCATGGCCGGCTATATCTCAACAGCATGAATCGGCAGTGTATCCCATCCATGCCGTCTCCACTTCCGGTGCGCTACGCCCCATCTCCGTTCGCCACCATAAGATGCCCTTGGTCCTTGCTCTTCTTCTTCATCCCCATCCCTCTCGAATCCGAAGCAGAGCTACGAGATCCAGTCCTCATTTCATGTGACAGAGGTGATGGTGTAATCTAAGAATAAGGGATTTGGTTTTCGAAGAAGTTCAAGTCTACCGTTGGTTAGTTTGGTCTTAGCGTTTATGATGTCTGACTTCTCAGTCTCCTGTTTCTGGCTCTATTGGTCATACGCCATGTTTTGGATAATCATTATCTCGTTGTTTCTCCATTACCCTTGTCTATCCCGACTTCTAGAGTAAGCTTTGGTTGTGCTAGGTTTCTCTTAACCATGTAACTTTAAATCCTAGTGTAATTTAGTGTTCGACACCGTGTAATCTTTCGTTTAATTCCAGATTTAGGAAATATGTTGTAGTTTCGCCTAAGGAGGGTGGATCATAATTCACTCTTTTGTAAACCCTCACATTAGGAGAAATACTTGTGTTGTAGTTTTTGCTATTTCCACCTATAATGTAATCCTAGCCAATATTGTGCTTTAAATCTAAGTGTGTTAGTTGCTTGAGTCCAACTCCATCAAATACTTCTTTCCACTAACATGTCATTGATTTGTTGACCTAAAATAGGCACCATGTAATGATAACCAACCTCTATGTTCATTTACAATATTGAGACCAACCTTCCGTACCAACACGATGAGAAAACATATTAGACATATGAGTCATATTCCTCAAATTTTTTTCTATACCCGGCACATCACCCACAGCGAAGCACGGGCAGCAGTGGCTAGTTTGGTATGGCTCCTATACTAAACACTCACGCTTTTTTGCATGCATTAACCATTAGGTGAAAGAACAAATCGTCAATGATCAAAAGGCAGTCCAACCACGCTGATCATTGGAGATAAATCATGCTTTTCTTTTCTTGATATATGGTGTAACTTCTATATATGATAACTAGCTCACTAGCTGGTTTAGCTATGAAAACTATAGATTAATCTTCAGACATGGACCACGGGATTTCAGTTGTCTATATGCATTTTTTCCAAGAGTTTACATATTGCATCTACTATGATTCATATAATGTCTTCCAACAACGTGCGGGTAGAAATAAATCCCTATGCTATTGTTTAAATTTCGTAATGATTTGGGCTAGAACCGGTTCCATGGTCTAGTTTTTCTACTGGGCCAATTTGGTTTGGGTGAAAACCGATTGAGCAGGCTGGTTTTCAAGAGTTTACATGTTTATTTTCTTTTTGAGATAGTGTGGTTTCTTTTTCATTTCCATATTATTTGTTCATTCGATGCAAGTCCACCGCACCCTTTTGGCCCTGTTCGATCAGTTTCGGATTCATAATTAAAAACCAGTTTTTGCCTTTAGTTTCTAAAATTTAGATTTTGAACAAAAATTGGTAGGATGTTTGGATCTTCTAGTTTTTAAGAATCTAACTTCATTTATTGCTCTATGGATCATCAAAAACTGGTTATCAACAACTTTCTGATTTTCAAGAATCTGGCAAAAACTGACTTGTTTAGATCCCACCTAGTTTTTAAAACTAGATTCTTAAAAACCGACAAAAACTGGAGACATCCAATAGCCTTTCTATCACGCTGACACACCAACAACAGCTGATTGAACAAATCGTTGTGCATAAATTTAGTCACAGTAGACTGCAAGAGTGAAACTGTGGGTTGCAAATGGTTCCTAATGGATTTAACTCATAGAGAAGCCACATGCTTAGCGTGCTGCAAATGGTTTCTAATGGATTTAACCCGTAGAGAAGCCACATGTTTAGGCCCTATTTGGATCTCTATAGATAATAGTTATTTGCTAATAGTTATCTCTTTTGGATCAAAATAGGTGCGGCTAATAAAATAGCTAATTGTTAGTTGGACATTTCTATATAATAAATATCTCACTGGTTGAACGAAATCAAATAATAGCAGCTCATATATTATCTTACTAGCATTTTTTATTAGCTATACATCCAAACACCTTTCAACTAATATGTAGCTAGTAGTTAGCTAGCTAATATTAGATATGAGCTATTAGCCAGCTTAACTATTAGCCGTTAATAAATCTTGTGGCGTGAGGTGAAAGAACGCAACAGTTTTTTTTTTTAGGAAAAAGAACGCAACAGGCTGGTTCGGTTTATGCAGATGATTGAAATGGACTGAGGTGGGTCAAACCTTTTCATGTTGCACGTAATTTGGGGTGGGTTTGGCTTGGATTCCGGACCATTTGCAGGAATACCAGTGCCGTTGGCCCACGACGTGCGTCGGCCTGGAGCCTGCGTTAGAAACTCAGATCGGCCTCCTCAGTCTGGTTGTTTAGTTGGGCGAAGGCCCATCTAAACTTCGTCACAACCAACACCGTAACCTCTTTTAGACTCAAAAAAAAAACCGTAACCTCTTTTTTTTTTTTGGGAAAACCAGCACCGTAACCTCAAGCCGTGTGCCCGGTCAAATATCAGCCTTAACCGACAGGTAGGACCCATGACACGGGGCCCACTTGGTTGCTTATTGCAAGCCACACGCCAACCCAACGCTATTACGCGACGATTAGCCAAACAAATCAATCATCCTCTACTTCATGTAGGCCGCGGGATTCCGAGTCCCAATCCGGCGTCGCCACCGTCGCCTCGCCGGCTACAGGTCCGGTCCCCGCGATGGAGCCCTCGCCAACCTCCTCCTCCTCGCCGGCTGTGGCGCGCCGGTTGTCGCCGGAGGTAAGGAGGGTGCGGAAGCGGGCGCTGGAGGAGGTGCTGGAGCAGGTCCAGCGGGCGGTTGAGATGCTGCGCGACGCCGACGCTGATCTCGGCGTCTCTCTCTCGGAGGACACCGCAGCAGCCCCGCCGGAGGGCGAGGACCGCAGGGGCGATGTCGGTGTCGATGGAGATGACGTGGCGACGTCGTCGGTTGCGAGTGACTCCGATTACGAGACGGCCCAGGTGAGCAGGAGGCGTCTTGATCCCTCACGAGTTCTTCTGGGGACGTCTAGGGTGCCGGGAACTAGGATTTGGATTTCCGAAGTATAAGTCGTTGCAGCAGGTGTAACTGAATTGGTAAAGTGCGTAATTCAACTGAATTAGCTACAATTTAAGTTTGGGCACTACAAATTGAAACTAAACACTTCATAAATATCTGAGGACCTGCGGTGGATGCGTAGTTCGAAATTACTTCAGTACTGTAAATATGTAATCACACTGTTTCTGTACTGTTTCAGTACTTGTTGGGAGCTATTGTCCACCTTTGGTATCTGTTGTCAGTAGAAAGTATTTGATGCTGATTTATCGTTCGGTTGACTTTGGTGACTACCTTTGGTATCTGCTCTGCCAATGATGTTATTAGTTAGGCCCTGTTTAGATGCGAAAATTTTTGGCTTTTGGCTACTTAGCACTTTCGTTTGTAATTGATAAAAATTGTCCAATTATGGACTATTTAGGCTTAAAAGATTCGTCTCGTCAATTACGGACAAACTGTGCAATTAGTTATTCTTTTTATCTACATTTAATGCTCCATGCATGTGCTGCAAGATTTAATGTGACGGGGAATCTTGAAAATTTTTGGATTTTGGGTGGGATCTAAACAGGGCCTTAGTTTAGTGCCAGGTCCGAGAATAGTGGTACAAAATCAGATATTTGATCGTTCCTGATTGTTGTAAATAAATCTTTGCAAGATGTTGCAAGAACAGTGAACAGTATGTTGTTAGTTTAGGCGAAGTCATGTCTGCAGTATGCCAGTATCCCTAATATGTATTTCCAGCTTCCTATCTGGAAATGTGGGCTGAACAGTCTCATGGTCATGGCCCTTACAGAAATCTCTTTGGAGTGACAAAGTAGAGACAGAATTTTCCACATGGTTTATTATGTTCTGAAGCTGCCCTGCAATTAAAACAACTTGCTTTTACCTAGCAGATGTGTGACCTTCTTAAATCTAAGGTTGGATCGCTCGAGTTCCTTCAAAAGCTCAATGGTATTCATAAGCCAGTAGATCAGAATGGTGCAGGTAAGCCTCTGCTGGATGAATATATATTACTATTATAAAAAGTACACAAGATATGATAAAAATGACCGGCTCAAATTACCTTTGGAGTTTCACTCTATTTTTTTTTAAATAGTTACCACTGTACTTTGAAAACTTCTCTGTTCTTTGGCACAGTGGAACCTGATGCATCATGGGATATAATAAAGTCAGTCGATTTGTGGGAAGATGGTGACTCAGATGATGGATATGTTCTTGTTAAGCAGGAGGATGTGGTTGATGGGATTACTTCCTTTATGGCTGCATACTTGTTATCACTTAAAAGGACCGAGGTAGCTATTTTCTTCACTTGATGGGATCATCATGCTGAGCGAGGAGTTTCATGTCTCTGCATTTTGTACGATATGTGATTTATATATTTAATGTGTGAATTTCATGTTTGTGCAGGACCTGTCCCTGATCAACTTCAGAAAGGTTTACTTATTCTCTCTTAAATAAGACGAACGGTGAAATAAATTTTTATTGGATATTCTGATGTTAAACTTTTTGACTGTTCATGTTCCAGCGCTTAGGAAGACGTTTTCAGCTGAAAAGAAGAAAAGTAAAATCCGGAAGGCATGGGATGGAACTAAAGTCATTTATAATGTTGCTTCATGGGGCGCTACTGCTGTTGGGTAAGTTATTATTGCACTAACCTTGGACAGTAATATTTTCGTAAAGCATTATTCTTCCCACAAAATAATGACCAAGTTGAATAGAGATCTGCTAGCTTGGCAACCTAATCTCTATATAGCTACGCTAACTGTTTTAGTACCCTATCATGCAGGGTCTACAATAATCGAGCATTACTTACGGTCGCAACTACAGCATTTCGGACTTCCTGCCGTGTGATATCCAAGTTCCTTTGAATATTGTGTCAACAACTAGGCTGTGTTAGCATTGCTTGTGTGTGTTTTTCCATTGTTCAGGTAATATAGCCTGAAACCATTTGTTTAGTCTATTCTAGATGCTGTAAATCTGTGATTGCCAGTGCGATCATGATTTCCCAGTTGAGTTCGACTGCTAGTTTAGCATTTGTGCTATTCCACAACTTCATCAACATCAGCGCCTCTTAGTCCAAAGCAGCATTTGTATTGCACAACTGTGTAAATATTGCCTTTGTTTGAACAAACTTGTTTTTGTGCCAGAACTTTATTTTGGTCATCCGAAATGATTAGTTTGTACTATTTTCCGTATCAAGCAAAACGAAAATCCTTGACATTGACCTGCTCGAGGTCCATATCAGCCGCTGGCACTTTTTTTTTGTTGAAATGCAGATCTTAGATTGACAACGAGGATATTCGGATGGAAGATGCGTGATGCGTTGGCTGAAGCGATCGCAATGATACATGAGGAGAAGTGTTGTCGCACCCAAATTTAAAGGCAAATCTGGATATAAATTATATGTGTGTCTAGGAATTAATTATACACACATATAGAGACAAATTAAAGGAGAATACTAAGCACAGTGCTTTATTACATCATGAGTATTTAATCTATCTATATCTCTATCTCTACAACTAAAACATATAGATTGTCAACGTCTACCCGTCAGGACCAAACACCCCTCAACACAGGTCCACCCGACAGCACCAAAAACTTCCCATATAATCGCTTCCCTACCGGCGCAATTAAAAGAAAGAAACCCAGAATGCCTCCGTTTTTTTTTCATTGTGCATGCGAATGGAAGGCAATGTCGTGATTGACTAATTGAGGACGGGAAAAAAATTAGACCATAATTGGAAAGGCAATGCCGCGATTTTTCCGTTGCAACGCACAGGCACAGTCCTAGTTACATAAATGTATCAAAGTTTAGCGAGCGGAAATAAATAAAGATAACTCCATGGCGCCTCCATAACCACAGGGATGGTCGACTGGTGGATCGCAAGACTAGTAATCTTCAGGAAAAATCCTCATAACCATTGCCATCTGTTACACATCCGGGATTTTTATCCAAGTAATGAAAAATAAACAAGCGTAAGTACATCTCGTACTCAACAAGAATAACACGGGGTCCATGAGGCTCAAAAGGTAGACACTGGTTTAACTGGATTTAGCTTTTATTGAGTCACGATTTTAAGCGAGTGAGTAGTAACAAGTTTATCTCAAGCCCATAAACACATGATCAGATAAATATGAATAATGAATAACATAAACAAATAATCCATTAGTAATCATCTATTCCATAAGGGTCCAAGGCCGCTCGTGACCGTGAGCACGGACTGATATATCAGTTTTACAATCTGCAGAGGTTGTACACTTTCACCGTGAGTCATGATTCCCTATTTGCTCGGGGTCATGACTCCCATAACACTTCCAAGGTGAGCGGGTAAGGTACACTATGAAATCTTTCAGAAGTTCGTCTAACAAGTTAGGGCCACTAGGTTTAAGTGGCATGCAAGTATAGAGCCCCCCTTTAAAGTGGCGCACTCACACAGAAGTAGTCAAAATAACAGAGGCCGCATTATACCTAACATGTCGACTCCTTTTGCGCCATAAAGGTAACCACTAACAAGTAAAAAAGGTCTTGATACTTGACTAAAGCCAGAGCCATGTAGCTCTCATGGTTGTACTGTAAGTCCCGGATGATCACTTATAGATAAGTCATTAAGGAGAGGAATCTAGAGCATCACAAAAACTATGCTCTAGCCCCTTGTTGCTAAAAAGCATCTTTTAGTGTTTATTGCATATTCTATTAATCAAGTTATAGGATCATGGTTGTTGTTTGAGCACTAGCATCATACTACCAAATGCATAAACCCATAGGTGACAAGAAATCAGGATATCAATTGCTAGAAAAATTTCTACGGTTATCAAGATAAACTCATGCATATGATTAAAGTGATAAATAATGAGTAGGACAACAAGGATGATCACATACTATACTTGCCTTGCTCAAAGTACTCATGCTGGTCCTGTTGGTTGTCAAAATATTGATCTTGTTCAACGTCGTACTGCTCACCGTCTATACACGATTCACCAATACAACATCACACAAGCATCCACAAACAATCATGCATAACAAACAATAAAAATAATTAGAACAGTACACCAACAGAAGAAAATAATGTTGAAAAGTTTATAAAACTATTCTACACGTCGCTACGAACACACAACGCGAAAATCGCTGAAAACGGTGAAGTTATGCTAATTATAAGCTCTGGATGGCAAAACTGTAATTAACGCGAACTGTATTCGAATTAAAATAAATAGAAAATCAGGATTTTGAATCTGATTCGGACCGCAGACATAAAAAGGAAGAACTGCAGGGACTCTTTAGCAAAAGTGCCGACGAAGGGGTATTTTCAATCCTGAGCCGTTGGATGAAAGAGGGATGGCTCAGATTAGTTTGAAGAGAAAAGAGAGAGAGAGCATGCCGGAATAGTAACTCCGGCAAGGTGGAGGCCATTGCCGGTAGGGAGAGCTCGCCGGCGAGCGTCGATTCGGCTACTCCGGCCACCGTTAAACTCGGTAAAAGCACGGGGAGAAATAGGAGACGACCGCGAGCTCACCTAGGTCTTCAAACGGGTCGGAGGCGAGAAGAAGACGGCGGGGTGCTCGACGGGACGGGTGGCGGCGTTCTGCATGGTCCGGCGACGAAACGTGAGCAATAGAGAGCGGAAATATAGGGCAAAAACGGTGCGTGGGAGCTTCACTACCGCGGAAAGAATCTCGGCGACATCTCAAAGACGACGAAGAAGTGGCGGACGGCGAAACCGGCAGCAGCGACGGCGGCTAGGGCTCGCGGCGGCAACACGAGAGCTCCGGGGCGCTGCGCTGTTGCGAGAGGGGTCGGGAAAAGGGATACGTAGTGCGGCGCATCGTTTATATACGCCGTAGATGCTCCAAGGAAGGAAAGGGGGAAGATCGAGAGGGATTCGGTCGCCCTCGAGGAAGGAAAGCAGCGGCGTCCTTACCATCGCGAGGAGGAAGACGGTTCAGTCGCTGACATGCGGGACCCGGCTGGCAGTGCAACAGAGGGAGGGGAACGGTGGGCGCACCTGTGCAGCTCGGCTGGGCCGCAACGCGGGCCGCAATATCGTACTGGGCCGGCGCGCAGCTGAAAGGGGAGGAGGCCATCAGGCCGAAAATGAAACAGGGAGGGAGGGAGAGAAACAATCCCTTTTCTTTTTCTGAAATCTGACTTTCAAAACCATTTTAAATGCAGTTTAAATTCAGTTAGCAAATCAGTTTCAAATCACTCAGCACATAAAAGTAAATGCAGCAGCATGCATGCAGAATCATGTTCGTAACCTTATGATGGATTTTAAATTAACAAAATTATTATTTCTCTACATTGAAATGCTCACACAATTGCATTAATAAATCAAGTTTAGCTATTCAAACGATGAAAAATTTGTGGGTGTTACATGCGTACACCACCTTCTCTCTTTGTACTCCCTCCGTAAAAAAACTTCTCTCTTTGTACTCCCTCCGTAAAAAAATAATAATAATTCTAGCACAGTGTCATAGTTTTGTATCTTAAATTCAATCAATTATAAATAAAAAATATCAATATTTATAATATTAAATAAATATTATTAGATTAATTACAAAATATGTTTTTATAATAAATTATTTTGGCTGTAGATATAAATAGCATTTACTAAAAATTTTATCAAACGTGAACTACTTTTATTGACACGCATAACACGTAGTTGCATTCTTTTCTAAATAGAAATTGTATTTTGTATTTTTAAGTGACCCAAAAAAATCAAATTCTAAAATACATCGTTGCGTCAATCGTGTGCAAGCACCTTTTGTATTTTAAGAGAGCCCCAAAAAAATCAAATTCTAAAATACATCGTTGCAGCAATCGTGTGCAAGCACCACCAAACAAGAAACTAATGGCACATCAGCAACACCCATGCATAGCATCCGCTATCGTGTTGCTCCTGATTTATTCCAACAATTTTACACGGATCTAGAACCCCGGAATTTATGCGGCCTGCATATCTTCGTCTACATTGCATTCACCGAGGTACACCTTAACGCTGCGAGGAGAGCCGCAGCTGCCTTCTGCTATAAGTGCTCTGTCGTTAGCAGCCATGTGCTGGATTATTTTGTAGATCATCTCAATCTGAGGAAGCAAACGTTGGGCATGTGTGTTAAGAGGGAAAAAACATTGTGTTTCTGTAGATGAAAATAGGGATGCCAAAAGATGGGAGGCGCGTGTGGTCAGAACAAACAAAGGGAGCACAAAAGGTGAAACTTACATCTTCAGGGCAATGGCAGCGATCTGCAATTTCATCTATACTCAATGGCTCACCAGGGTTCTGGCAGCTGGGAGACAAGAAGTACATGAATCAACAAGCAATCCAGTAACTCCAATATAACATTAATGCAAATCAAAGTTATGTGTAAACTAAATGGGTGTGGGTGTGTGTTGTAAGGGTTCTTGCCCCTTTTTCTTCTTAATATAAAAGACAGCTCTCCTGCGTGTTCAAGAAAAAAAAGACTTCTTTGCATACACATATTTTGTGTCCTCACTTATGCCGATTATTTGAGTTTACATCATGTAAAGAAATTGGAATTTGGACAGTCAAAATTGTTTCATCAGTAAGGAAAGGTTGAGTTATACTTTAGTACAATCCACATGTTTCTTTCTTTGTAAGAATATTGACTTTCGACTCTAAGGGTATGTAACTGTAAAACCAGCAGGACGCTATCTGTAATTTTGCAACCCCATGCCCACATGATAATTGTCAATAAGCCGTCAATTGTAATTTTCAGCTAGGAAAACTTTTTAAACCTATATCAATTCGAATATCTAAAATGCCCAAAGGAGAGATGGGCATTGCCACAGCTTTGGGGGTGGGGGTGCACTTGGAGTGTTTATTTTGAGGAACCACCCCATGAGTACATCCCTCCTCATGTTTGTACTAATTATTAGTTTGCAAGGGATAAGGTGGTGGCAGATGAACTTATTCCACTCCATAAACC